GTGCGCGCGCCTGCGAACACGCCTGCCACCGCCGGCGCGCGCTCGCCGCTGGCCTCTCGCCTCGCACGCAGCCAGGTGCATTTTCGGGGCTGTGCCCTGTGTCCAGCCCCTGTGTGTATGTGTGTTTGTGCATGTGCGCGTGTGTGGGCTTGCACGTGTGTGGTTGTGGGTGTGTGCGCGTGTGCACGCGTTCGTGTTCTACGCATGCCTTTTTGGCTTGCAGATCACCCAGCAGCACGGCAATCTCTCCCGGCACACCTTCCCAGCCACAACACACACACACACACACACACACACACACAAACATACTGCATTAAGACCGCCGCGCACTCACCTGCACCTGTTCAGGGCGCCGCTCCCAGCGCTGGTCGCTCCCCCAGCGCCGCGCTGGTGCCGATCCGCTACCTCTTCGGCATCGAGGTGCGGGACCCGCCCGCGGGAGAGAGGGGCATCCTATACACACACAGGTGCGGGCCGGGACAAGCAGCCTGCCTTTCGGGGTGGCAGTGGCCATGGGAGCCGCACAGGTTCTGAGGCATATGCAGCGGCGCGAGAGGCGGGGTTGAGAGGAGTGGGGAGCGGAGGGCAAGCGTCCGACGGTGCTATTGTGAGAGCGACCTACTGTGGTTTTCCTGCTTTACCTCTGATACTGTTTGCGCAGGGCCACGGGCTTCAGCTTCCAGCTGGGCCCCGCGGCGGCGCTGGCGCACGAGCGTGGCGCAGCGAGCAGCGGCGAGGTGCGGGGGAAAGGGCGGCAGGCCGGCGGGTGCGGGCAACCTCTCTGGTCGCCGTGGTGGAAGCTCCTGCATACGGCAGAGCGCAGCGCGGATAGCAGCGTCACCCCAGTCGTTCTGCGGCGCCTTTCGCCCCCAACGCCGCGACCGCGCTGCGCCCCTCTGCTCAGGGGTCGGCCTGGGATGGTGAGGTCGATGATGACGATGAAGTTGATGAGGATGAGGAGGAGCAGGTGGCATTCTTGCCAGTGGAGCTGGGGGATGCTGCCAAGTGCCTGCCAGAATTCCTCAAGGTGGGGGCCTGAATGTTTGCATGTGTTGCGACTGGGTGTGGGGGTGGGCAGGCGGTTGATTGGGTGGATGTTGCAGGCAAGCGAGGGTGCACTTAGGGAACTTTGAGGGGCAGTGCCTCATAGCTCACGTGGGGTTTGAAGCTCTGATGGAAAACACGCACGCACGCAACCCGCCCCCACCCACCCACCCACCCACACACACACAAACGAAAACACATCACAGGAGCCGATTACGTTTGCTGCCTCACGCAAGGAGCAGCTGGTCAAGATCATCTTTGACTCCCTGGCCGGCGCCAAACACGCACGGGCGCAGCCCATTGCCGCCGCCGGCGCCAAGGGCCGCGGTGCAGGCGG